CTAAGAGAAACATCAGTCTTGGACCAGAGGAGAGTACCAAGGGAAGACAAAGGGAAAAAAACAGCAAAATTAACCAAAAAAAGCCTGGAAGACTCATTGAAGATAGACCAAGTACAAAAAATGGACATAAATCAGATCTACAAAATGGTTTTAGAGGACATGAAAGATGACAGCATGTTTAGAGACAGTCTTGGACCAGAGGAGAATACCAAGGGAAGACAAAGGGAAAAAAAACAGCAAAATTAACCAAAAAAAGCCTGGAAGACTCATTGAAGATAGACCAAGTACAAAAAATGGACATAAATCAGATCTACAAAATGGTTTTAGAGGACATGAAAGATGACAGCATGTTTAGAGATATAGCAGGGAATGAAAAAAGAGGAACCAGAGAGGGAATTACCTAGAAAGATGAAAAAAGGGAAAACAAGGAAGGGCCCCTTAATATTGGAAACATGTTTATATTTATCATTTGGATCTGTAAAAGGGTATATTCTATATATTAAAAGGAGAACTAAATTGAAATAAGGGAGCCCGAATCAGGGTAAAGATGTAATATGGTGACTTTTTATTTTAGGCAAACTAAACTAGATATAAAGCTGGGTCATGGATCTGGAACCACTTTCAATAAGAATGTTATTAGAAGATCTTGAGAACTTTATATAATATGAGAGTAATATTATGATAGTAGCTATACTATATACTAAAATCTGTATATGAATGGTTTGAAAGAAGGTTGGAATTTGGGGGGGATAACCGAGAAGACATTGAGATGTAAAAAAATAAGCAAGTATGTAACACGATGTCTGATAAGCACAAACAATGTAGCTAGATTGGAAAATTAATTAAAAATGTTAAAGAAAAACTGCAACATTGCAGGTATTGATGTCATTCTCTCATTCTTTCTTCATTTCTGGAGATGGTGAGATATGAGCTTCTGAGAACAAGAACGCTTACAGTTCTTAGCTGGTTCACCTCTAGTTCATCATTATTGATTCACTCTGACATTTGTCTTCTGTTTAGCCAGAGAGATCTCATCTCCTTCTTTTCTTTCTAGATTCTGGAGGATAAGCCCCCTGAGGAATACCCTGTTATTGAGCCCATGGTTGAATATTTCCATGATGGCATAAGCAGTGATTTCACCTTGTTTCCTCCCCATGTCAGCCTCAGTGTTAAGGAGTTTGATTTTGGTTGTTGTGCAAAACTCCAAGACGTAGACCCACTTCCTCTGTGTGTGGCCAATCACACGAAGGGAAAGATCACTGTGATATGGACAAACAAGCCAAATAGCCCTTTCCAAGTGATCCCAGAGAGTTGTGACATACCACCTCTGAAGACAATGGCTTTCCACATCACTTTTCAGCCTCCTCAACTCAATTCCTTGTATGCAGCAGAACTGGAGGGCTTTGCTTTTTATAAGGTGAGTAACCAGTCTCACTTATATATACAGCATTGATGTTGCATCCATGATCATCCTGGGTTTCTAATAATTTCCTCCGGTCTTGTGGATGATCACTCATTACCTCTTGGCCTAGTTGACCTGGGTTGGCAGGGAAGCTGATAATAAAAGTTGTCTCTAGCAAAACATGAATCCAGTTGTCTAGCTATTAAGGAAAGGTATTTAAAAAGATAGGTGCTGTACTTTGAAGGGAGAAAAAATTGATGCAATTTAAGCTGCTTTTCAATTCAATAGTGTTAATTTGCGCAATTGAGATACACAATAATTTCTTAATGTTGTATCTGTATCTGTTTTAAGTCTGTTTGCTGCTTTGGGTGCTAATTCTGGGCGAAAAGTGGAGTAAAAATCAAATAAATGAGAAGATAGTAAGAAGGAACTGATTGTAAAATAGAAATAATGCTCACCCAGAAGATTTCTGTTGAAGGTTAGTTCTTGCAGATATAAAGTCTGTCTGTAGCATTACCTCACCCCGTTTCTTATCACTCACAGGTGCTCCGACACTACAACAACATTGAGGAGTCCATCACAATGTGCCCATCCTGGAGCTTGACCATTCGCTTGCGTGGACACACATTTCAACCTGGACGGCAACACTTCATTCCACAGTACACCATCGACTGCCACAAGGTGAGAGGGATAGCTTTTGTTCTCTAGGGAGGAAAGTTGCCCTCCAGAGGCAACTGGCTGCAAAATGGAATAGAGGCACCAGGGGGAAATCCCTGCTCATTGTCGCTTGCGTGTCAGCACAAAGCACCACATAGTCTTTGTTTAGTTTGCCTCCAACCTTAAGAGGTGAGTTGTTTCTTCCTTCCATTTTTCTTATGGGAACCAGTTGTGAGCAGGAGAAGTCAAGCTTTGCCATGGCTACCCAATGGTAAGAACCTGGGTGTACTGAACAGAAAGGAAGCCTTAATTTACTGTCCATGCTGGCTTTCATTCCACTTCTTCACACTCACAAATCTTTCTGGTGACTTGCAGCATGTACTTTCTAGATGAAGAGGAGATTGGGATGTGTTTCCTGTTATCATCCCTCACCTTGGCTGTCTGAGGGAAAATCCTTTTCTTCCTTTGCTAGTCGTGGCTTCTGAGTTAACATTTCCTGAAGAGTGTCTAAATTGGTTCATATATGACATAGAAGCCAAAGTACTGCAGTGCTTTTAAAACGAATGGGTTTATGTGAGCTTTTCTGGATTACAATCTACCTCTTTAGGTACATACTGTATGCCACACGTGGTATGTGTCTGTTCTTGTGGTAGGGTGTATTAATCATGCTGAAATATACTAGCAGGGCCATCTTTGTGGAAATTGCTAAATCGGCTCAGTGACAGCAGAGGTCAGCAGAGGCCCATTTCTAATGGGTTATATTTCCCATTTCTAGATGCATAAAGCTCTAAGTAGTCTATTGTTCTAAGAGTATAGCATGCCAGTTTTGTTTCGTTTTAACACTGTTGCCTTTAACACAGACAGGGGATGCCCCTAGCAAATATTTGTACAAGCTTAGGTTTTTGAACAAAACTGCGCTGATTTTGATTCTATTAGAATATACAAAGACATACATCAGCTGCATTTTGATATGCATCAATTGGTCAGGTTACAACCTTCTTTCTGTGTTTGAGCTTAGGAGAACGTGTTTTTACATATCAAGCTGAAACAAATGTGCACAGCACTGAATGGAAAGGAGTTGAGCTGCCTTTTGCACTTCTAAATACTGTAGTCTATGTACATTCATCTTCCTTTATGCATGTGTGTATAGCCTTAGTTAAACCTTGAATCACTTGCTGTCCACATAATTAATTTCTGTGTACATTTAGCCTGCAAAAGACTTCAGAGTTGTAATCAGAGTAGCAGTTCATCCTTAGTATTTATATTTTGTAAGTCCACTCTCACAAAAGTAGAATGAAAGGTGGGGTAGGGTTATTCAGCTCATGGGACTGTTCTTACATGGCGAGGTGCACTTTGTGTAGTCTTCACTGCTTTCTTCATAAAACAGCACCATGGTCATCAACCAGATCTTCAAGGCACCGTGGATGCTTCTTAGAAAGCAACCTCAGATGTTCTATTATTGCTCTTCTTGTCTCTCAGGTCTTCCCCCCAGTGTGCCAGAGCATGACCACCTATTGTAGTATGCTGATCTCCAATGTGGGCAGCACAGCGATCAGCTTCCGCATGAGCCGGGAAAAGTGCCCCTCTCTCCTGGTGAAGCCTAGCTGTGGCTACATTGCACCAGGAGCCCATCAGATTTTGGTCCTCTCCACCTGCCCAGCGGACACATCCCCACAACAGCACATCTTGTCCATGCAGCTCAATTTTTCATCTGAATTCAATGAGGTAGGACCAAAGAGATGAAGATACTTTCATTTGTTCTCTGTATTACTTCCTTGCCTATTTTGATGTCACTTCACTTTGCTTATGCCATTTTAGGACCTTTAGAAAAATACCTTGTTACTATTTTAAAAAAATAAGCACATGAAGTGTCTGCTTTAAGATTTTGAAAAGAATTATCTCTTTTTTCTATTAAAAAAAGGTGGTAGTCAGCAGTTAGAGTGCCAGCTCCATTCACAGTGGCACCCTATGTCATAAACCCTTTTGTTTCTTTAGTTCTTTGATGTGCAGTAAAGCACATCTGTTGTTGTTATGTGTTGTCAAGTCACATAGCAACCATAGTAGGGTTTTCAAAGTATGTGAGATACTCAAGGAGTGTTTTTTTTTTCAGTGCCACTCCCCAGTGAGTTTCCATGGCTAAGTGGGTATTCAATCCCAAATCTCCTATCCACCATATCACATTGGCTCTCACTACTCTCCTTTCAAAAAGGGGTGAATAACACTACTGTTGTCTATCTTTCATATGGTATGTGTAATGTGGATACTCAATCATGTGGGAGTATTATGTGAATATTAGAATATGATTAATACATACTTTCTTAAATGTTTCTCATATTTCTAATTTGCTTATTTATCATGAAATAAGTCCCGAGATGGCTTCCCTGTGCAGTCTGATGTAATGATTGCTGGTGTTGTCCAGTATTTCAGTATTTTGAAATAGATACGTCAGACTGCACAGGGAAGCCATTGAAATCCACAAGCACCAGCAGAACTTCAACAAAAAAGAGGAAAGTGTGAAGCTCAACAAAACTTGGCTCCCAGCTCTCAAAAATACAGTGTGCAAAAGGTCATCGACCTCTACCCAGCCACAAGGACAGGGGATCACTACACACAAAAGACCAGCTAACGACACCCATCAACCACAGTGACAGATAATCTCTTCTCCTTAGCACAACAATACACGCACAACAATACACACTAATCACCCATCTACAGAAAAAGACAAAAGCCTATATCACAGCCATAAATACTGCACTCCCAAGCCAACTACACCAGAGCACAGAGTGCTGTCCTCTGAAGATGCTGGCCACAGAGACTGGCGAAACGTTAGGAAGAACAACCTTCAGAACACAGCCAAAGATCCTGAAAAACCCACAACAACCATTTGTGTGACTGTTTAATTCTTCTTGTATATCTTAACTGTGGTTGTGACTTAAGAAAGTCGGGGCTCACAAGGCAGAATCAGCTGCCTGTGACTAGAAGGCAGGTAGATGGCCGTCACCGTATATCAGTGTCCATGACACTAGTGGTTCTACATTCTGTGTGGTGATTGCAGGGGTTGCACAATGGGAAAGAAAAATCTTGTCTGCAGTACTCCGAAGAATAAACACTGTGTATTTGGATTACAAGGAAAGGCCTTGCAACATTTGCCAGGCCAAACCCATGAACTCTTTTTGATTTGCAATGTAGTTGAAGACAGATGTTTTAGTTTCATGGCACTTTTAGAACTTCACAAATCAAAGACTTATTTTGGCATCCTTCTCCTTGTACCTCCTCCTTGTATTATCCCAGCTTAGAACCCATCTCAGCCTTCCTGTGAAAACACTGTGGTTGTCAACTTTGGCTGAAGATTCCTGCTGATGTTTCTTCCTCAGGAGATCATCCTCCAGAGCCAGGCTGAGCCTCTCATCTTGCTCTTAGAAGGTGATGGCAAACTGTACTTCAAGCCCACTTGCGTGGGTACCACCTCCTCACGCACCTGCACCATCAAAAACTGCTCAAGGTTATCCGTGCGCTTCAGATGGAAAATTCAGCCGTCAGACAAAAAGCTCCTGTCTGTCCAGCCAACTGAAGGGACTCTGTTGCCCAATGAAGCTTTGGTGAGTAGCATAATTACAGGGAAATATAGCAGAGTTCTCCTTGGGTTAAAAGTAACAGTAAACACTTGCAGTTCCTAAAGTTGTACCGAAACATATTTGCTTCTGCTTGGGGCACAACAGCAAATGGTAGTACACTGCATTTCTTCAAGCATGTGTAGTATTCAAAGCCAGGCAAATTGTTTTGTCAAAGAGGGTATAGATTGGAATAAGCAATGACTGAAATCTGTTGTGTAACTACACGAGCACAACTCAGCGTTGCATTTGTGGTAGCTCCAGTTATGCCAAGGCAGAAGTGCTATCTACAGATTGGAATAAGCAATGACTGAAATCCTGTTGTGTAACTACACGAGCACAACTCAACGTTGCACTTGTGGTCGCTCCAGTTATGCCAAGGCAGAAGTGCTATTCAAAAAACACATTGGCAAGAGCACTGTGCAACTGGTTGTATCAGGAACCACACAATTGATTGCATAATCAGATTGTGCAATCCTTGTTGTTGGGGCATAAAACGCAGCACATTTACTCAAGTGTAACATTGCATTCCACCTAGACAAAGAAGATTCTGGCCAATACTAGTAAATCAGTTACTGTATCTGTTTATTTGCTGCTCTTTCATAACACCCAGAATCTGCTCCCTATGGTAGTTCTTTCACCCTCCTTAATAGTAGGGACAGCACTAACAATTCTACCTGCAAATGTGTTGCTAGATAACTGAATGGATGTTGATAATGTACTGGAAGGTGGGTTCTTGGGGGGGGGGTTCTTGACAGTTTGCTCACCCAGATTCTGCACTCCAGAAAGGCTGATATTCTGGCATTCCTTCACCCTGTTTTCTTGCATGTGATTTCAGGCTCAAACATGGACATTCTGTCCTAGAGAGCAGGTCAAGTACCTTCTGCGGAGTTCAGTGACAGTGTGGAGGGATCAAGAGCTCCTGGATGACACAACGCCAAAGAGCATCCGCTATGTTCTGCGGGTTATTGGGGAGGGATCGTTTGGCACTATAACAGTAAGTGACAGCATCCAGGGCAGGAGGTGAGTACATCCCCCTGTTTGAGGAAAGTAGAAGCCCTGTCATGGAGCTGTCCTTTAAAGCAAAGCCTAGGTGATATCCTGGCACCTGTGAAGGCATGGGCTGTAGTCAGTACATATTCCTTTTAATTAGTAGTACCTCCACTTGCTAAGCTGGGTTGAATATCAGTATGGATGAAAATGCTGGCCTGAGTAGGTCCTTCTCCTTTGTTGGTTAGTGGACCTGATCTGTCCCTGTTGTGTTTTCCTTGCAGGCGCAAGAGGAACAAGTGGATGTTGGCAACATCTTGGTTGGCAGCACAAAGTCTTGTGAAGTCACTTTATTTAATAATGGGGCCTGCTCCTTACTGTATGTTCTCAGTGTAGAACAGATGATCACTGGACCTTGTGACCCTGAGGAAGTGGCTTCTGACCTGTTAGGTACTTAATGGAAGCGGAGATCTTCTGGGCTTTGCAGCAACCCGAAATGTCCCATTCATGCTCATGCTGCCTCTTGCCCCCTCCCTGTCTTCCTGTACAGCCATTGAACTTGACCACTGCAGAGGAACAGTGGCTGCTCGGGGGAAGATCTTTTTGCGAGTAACTCTTCGGCCGGTGCGGCGGCTGCACTACACCTGGACCATCAGCTGTGCTATTTCCACCCCCAGAGGTGAGGTGTGTGGCGGGGATGGGGGAGGGAGATCCCGTATCAGGCAAAACAGCTTCTTCTTATTTCCCCATGTACTGGACCTCCACGACCTCCCAAAGGTGCCTTGGAAACTGGGTGGTGGGACAAGGGGTCAGGAAGCTGCAAAGCAGAGGAAACTTACTTTGCCCTTTTTAGCTGCTGCTCCCTCTTCTTTTCCCTCATTCCAGCCACCTCCGGAGAATTTCTGGCACTTGACTTCAGAGCCGTCTTAGTGAACCCAAGGAGGTTGTCTTGTAGTCTGTCAAAGTGTGCTCCCCCTCAGCCTTGTATATCATTTGTGGATTTTAAAAATATATGTACAATTAAATTTTGCAGCAACCTCCATTGGGCAGTAGGGTGGGGAACTATCTATGTGCCATAGCTTGGGCAAAGAGGAGGATACTCGCGTTGTGTCTGTGTGCTTGAAAAGAAGAAAGAAAGAAAGAGTGGGTCTGTATTATTGGGTCTGCAAAGGTAACGGTTTCCTTCAGGGAGGAAAGCACTTCTCTCCCTTGGCCTCTGAAACATTTCCCCAAGGACAGTGTATTGTTACCTGAGATTTGGAAAATGTAATGATGTTGCTGCAGAGGTAGCAAGCTGAGGGAAGATGTCTGGCCTACAAAAGGGTGGTGGTAGGGAGACACTTATTGTACACACTGTTTGGAGAGATTCCAAGTGCTTCTGCCTCTGAGGTTTTCCAGTGCACTGACTGTTTTATATGTTTTTTTCCTGCTGCAAGCTTCAACTCCCCTTGGGGAAAAACAGCCGGTTTGCCGTGTGGTAGCAACAGGCATTTATCCATCCATCTGCATCACGGATGCCTGTGGTATCGGCAGTGCCTGTGGTATCAGCAAGCTGCATCTCTGGCGCCTTTTCTCACTGGACACCCTGAACCAGTATCTGGAGCGAGATCCAACACCACAGGAGCTTACTTTCAGGGTGCCTACCCGCCACAGGTAAGAATCTTGACTATTTTGCTAGACCCTGAGCCTGTAGTCCCTTTGTCTTTTCCCTTCTTACCCAGGAATGTTCCGGATTTCTTCACACTTAGATGTATGTGTGTGGAAACTGGACTCTGAAGATTGTGTAGCTTGCCAGTGTTTTGTCTCGCGCTCCTTTTTTCTTCGACATGCAGCATTCAGCGGATCCCTCCGGTGTACACTCCTGTCATGCTGGATTTTAACTTTGGTGCAGCCCCTGTCGGATGTGAGCCCTCTGTGGTTGTTCTGATGCTACAGAACAATGGGGTGATACCTGTAAACTGGTTAGTATGCCTCACTCATGGTTCCAATGTAGTGAATAACTCTAGTAGCCGGTGATGCTAGGGAAAGTTGATGGTAGTGGGAAGAGAGGAAAACCAAACATGACATAGAATACTTTAATAAAAGGAACCCATGGAGTTAAGTTAGCGGGACCTAAGCAGGGCTGTTGTTGACAGGGAAGCATAAATCAGAAGCAACTTGGTGGCACATAACAATAGCAACTCTTTGCCTCTATCTCCAACTAGCAAAACAAGAACCAATTGTTCAAAGTAATAAATATTGCAGAATTACGACACACAAGAGAAATCAAGTTCATTTGCTCTAATTATATAATGTATATAGGATGCAGAATTCATCTTTTCTTGGCTATAGACATGTCTTATTTAGCACCAAGTACATAAACCTCTGCTCAGGTTAGGGAAGTATTTCCAATTTGACCATAAGGTAGGCTGTTCTTCTGGGCATGGGCTCTCTGTTAGCTTTTCTTTTCATTGGGAAGCTGTTTCTGTTTCTCTCTTTTGTCTCGCATTGACCTCTCTCTCTCTAGGGCCTTCTTGTTTCCTTCTGACCAGAAGATTGATATGGAATACTGGGCAGAAAGTGCTGAGTTTGACCCCAGCGAGTTACACCAGATGCGGATCCAGGATAATCATCTTTTTACTGTCTCTCCCAAGGCAGGAAAACTTCTCCCAGGGCAAGAGCAAATGATACACCTATCCCACAGGTATCTACGACAAACAATGGTTTCTTCTTTTGCCATGCAGAAGCTGATTCCCAAACCGAAATAAGAGATTCAGTTTCTGTGCAAACTGTGGTTCCCCAGTACGTGGTCCAGCTGCATGTACTAGATCCATTCTGCTGTGATGCTGTCATGGTTGCTGAACTCAGAAAGAAGAAGGACTTCCCCCAAACTCCATTCCCAAGCATATTCTAGATTCCTTAAAACTGAATAAGAATGTTAGTTCTGCTTTCTCCAGAGCCTGTTTTTTGAACATTCAAAAGTGGGAGCCTGGAGTTTATGAATCGAAACACTTCTAAAGAGCTCTGTTCTTTCCCAGCCAGATATGGCTGTGCTTGTGTTCGGGAAGCTCCTTATGCAACAGTGCTGTTCTTTAGCAGGGAAATCAGTTGTCCCTAATCTGCTGTTTGAGATGAGGTTCTCCAGCTGAAAGCTTGGAATGGTTTCATCTGTGTGTGTTTCTGATGCTCATTATTTATCTTTCTCCCGCCAGACATGATTTCACTGGCACCGACCGGCTCCCAGTCCTGCTGAAGGTCTCTCATGGTCGAGAAATTCTGGTATGCTTTCAGGCAGAGAGATTTAAAAACTGTCTCCACTGAGGAGGGAATATCAGCCTCCCCTAAAGCCAGTTTAAAATTCCTTTGCTGGTGTAACAACAGGAGGCTGTATGTAATATACTGCTGAAATGGCCTTGTCTGGGATGGGGGAAGGCTTCAAGTTTGCCACTTAATATCTGGGTGCTGTCTGTTGCATACCCAAAATGTATAATTCCTAATTCACCAACTACTTTATTCCATATGACTCTGGTCACTGGATAGCATAACCCTATCAGTTGAAGAGTTTTCTCTTCAAAACTGTCTTCTCATTTTAAGTCTTCTAAAGCCTATTTAACTTGAGCAGAGGCCTTGATTTTTGGTTCACATGTCCTCTTGATCATTTGCAATCATACTAGGACATGGCCTATGGAGGTAAGAGCAGATGACCCAACTGCTTCTTCCTCCTGAGCAGAAATGGAAATCATGGTTTTAAAAGACAAACAAAATGTTGTCTTGTGTTTATACTCAAGGGCCAGCCTTGGCAGTAGGCAAGCTTGACTTGGATACAGTACTAAAGGAGTTTCGGAGTTAACCCTCGGCTATCTGCACTCACACTGACTACACTTCAAAGGTGTCTTCTTTCATGATGCAACCACACTGGGAAAAATGTGGGAAATGCTATGGATTTGGGGCAGGCTGATTCACTATTTTTTTTGTTAATCACATAATACAAAGGGAAATGTGAATCAGCCTAGAGTCTCCCAAGCGCCCAAAATCCATAGGTTTCCTCCTTGCTGCTGGGGGCTTCTTCTTTTTAACAATGGATCTGTTTGCATCAGTCCAGATGTTGTGGTCACTTGAAATGATGCAGAAAAGCCACAGAAAACTGCTGCACCAGCACACACTCAGGAACTCTGAGCAAAGCCCATTGATTCTTCTTCTTCTTTTTAAAGCTAGCAAAGCTTCTCAGAAATTCTCAGCAAGACTTTCCTTTTTGTGTATTCTTGAAGGCTTTCATGGCTGGTATCTAATGGTTGTTGTGGGTTTTTTGGGCTCTTTGGCCGTGTTCTGAAGGTTGTTCTTCCTAACGTTTCGCCAGTCTCTGTGGCCAGCATCTTCAGAGGACAGCACTAGCCACAGAGACTGGTGAAACGTTAGGAAGACCAACCTTCAGAACACGGCCAAAGAGCCCAAAAAACCCACAACAACCACTTTCCTTTTTCTTTTTAACAGCTAGGGTAAGCAAAACCTAAGCAAGATCTTCTCAGTTCAGAAATGGCTTGCAAAGCTGGCAGAAGTCTTGCCAGCTTTGCAAAACATGGTGGTGCCAACGCTGATGCACTATAGCACCCAAATACCAAAAATTAAACACCACCCCGAAAATACCAGCCCCTCCCCCAACAAGAGGAGGAAACAACAGATGGAAAGCCCTGCTGCAGCTTGTTTAGGTGGTTCCTTTTAAACACCACTCCCCAAAGGGCTGTTCTCCTGTCTCCCTGCGTGGTCACTTAAAGCGAATGGACCTGAATTCCCCAGTGCGACTTCACAGTAAATGAATGTGTATGAATTCATAGTTCCCTCGCTGTGTAGTCACACCTTCACTCAAAAGAAGCTGCAGGCAGTTTGCACTTACCAAAGCAAGCAAAACTGTACAGGGAAGCAGGCTCAGTAAACAATCTTCCTCCTTTTCCAGGCTTTATTGTTTAATCATACTGCTGCAACCATGGCATCTTATAGATGATGGTCCAGGCAGTGGTCTCCCAGTTGCAACCTTCCCACATTTTCCCACTGCTTCTTCCATCTTCTTGTCAAAAGAAAGAAAAATCTGCTGGGGAGGAACAGAAGGGCTGCACTGGAGGGAAAGGACATTGGCAGTAAAGCAGCAACACCACTGAGTGGTAGTTTGAGCCCTTTCGTGGACATGTGCTAGAATAACCTGAGAGTAGCAGGGACTCTTATGCTACTAGGTGTTATATTTCTGTTCAAGCAGCACAACTTGGAAACACTGTAGAATTATTTGCAGGAATGTTGGATAGGTGGGTGGAGGACCAAGCACTCCTTGCCCGTGTTCTCCTTGATCTTAGGGCTCGTCCTTTTTGACATCCCTGGATCTGCCTCAAGTACGGATGCTTATTTTGTCTCCCTGGTTCGCCACACTCCCCCAACTTGCCAGTTGCATTCACATTCCCCTTCTGGTCTGATGGGCACCTCTCTCATGCCCCACTGAGCCTCCACTAAGTGCCCATCACCCTCCCAAGATTTCCTGTGAGAGTACTCTGTTCCCATCAGCCTTTTATTTTGATTTTCCTCCCCTTCAGGGACTATCGTAAGCGGAAAATCCAGCCTGTTAAGCAGGCTTTGAAAACATAGGCTTAACTGTGCCTTTGTGCAAAGCTTTTGGATGGGCTCCTTTGGCGCAGCCCATTTGGCACAAGTCTTGATGGCCTCCCTGTGGGGAAGCGAGTGTCCTGGCTGGAGGCATCCTGCCTAGCCAGTGGGCCAGTGTGTTCCAGAGGCTGTGCCTGAAGGAAGGAGCCTGACAAGGAAAATCTTTGAGAAATACTGTATGGAGGTCTTATAGCTGTTCTATTTTCGTGAAGAGGAATGTCTGGTGCTTTCTTTCATGCTTCTACAGTTCTTCTCTCTCTTTTTGCATCATCTCTTTGACTAAAGGAAGTTCAAGAGATGCCTCGTCCATTTGGGTAACTCAGATATATATATGCATCACACATTTTCCCCTCCTATAATTTTATTCTCTACTTGCAGCTGAATTTCATTGGTGTGACACTGTGTCCGGAGCGCCATTACATCCACTTCACCTCAACCAAACATGTTTTCACACCTATTGCAATTGGCACATACGACCCTCCCAAACAGGTGAGGCATCCAAAAGTCTGTCTTTTGCCCATGGCTCTTCCCTTGAGCAAGGCTGTTGACAGAAGGCATCCCTGGGGGGGAGGGGGAAGGGTCCTGTGTGTATTTGCAGGAGCCTCCTCCAAGAAGGAACTGGAGACTGGGATGGCAGGGGACTGGAGAAGCATCGTGCTGTGGCAGAACATGGTGGTTCAGATGATAAGGCTACTAAAGCAAGCTTTCCAGTCTCATTTGCAGGCAGGAGGGCAGTTGCAGGGGCCTTCTGGTGCTTAGGAGAAGAGGCTGCTTAGCAATTACTTGTTTATCAGTTGTCTCTTGCAAGGAAAGGTTGTTTTTCATTCATTTTTTCATGCATTTTTCCAGCATATGGGGTGGTTCTTAATGGGGGTGGTGGGATGCCTGCTGTGAAGGGATGCTTGCATCAAAGAACAGGTGGGTTTAGGAATGAATAACAAGCCCACTTTTTTGCAGGTGGTTTTTGTAGAAATGCTCCTTCAGCCCTTCTTTTGGAGTTGCCTGAAGAAACTGGAGTTTGATTTAAATCAGTGCCCTGTAGGGTTCAACCACCTTGAACTGTTTGTGCTGAGGAACTGTGGCATTATGCACAGCCTGATTTGTCAGGACCTAACAGTTTGTTTCATTTGCACAAGACAAAGAGTGAGGAATGTAAATAGTCTGTCAAGCAGAATGCTTGTCAGGCATAACATTTTCCTGAACTGTTCCAGATAGTCTGAAAGGAAATGAATGGCTGGTTAGTTGACACTAACTGATATCATAATTGATCTCTCAAAGTACCTTTGTTGAGGGACAGCTTTGGAATCTTTGCTGGAGAATAAAATTCAGATTGCCTTAAAATATTAACCTATCAGAAAATATTTGCCAAGAATGGGTTGCCTTTTAAGAGGAATTACCTATTAAGGAGGAGTCCTTCCAAATGGAGATGCTTCTGATCCATGTGAACTGATTAGTCTCTACCCAGTCATATGAGTAGCCATAGCCTCTCTCTTTTTGCAGATTTATGAGCTGTATAATGGAGGGGCAACAACAGCTGTATACGAAATCCAGGTGGATGCTCTGTTGAAAGTACAGGAAGAAAACCACAAGCATGCAGTGTTTATGTGCCTGAACCCAAAAGGAGAGATTGGTCCAGGCTTAACAGCCCACACTGAGTGGATCTTTTCTCCACTGGAAGCCAAAATGTACTCGGTAAGGCTCTTGACATTAAGACCGGGCAATGTCCTTTGGAAATTCATATCCAAAATTGCACTCCAGTTGTCATCTGTCTAGCCCAGTGGTTCTTAACCTTTGTTACTCTGATGTTTTTGAACTGCAACTCCCGGAAACCCCAGCCAGCACAGTTGGTGGTGAAGGCTTCTGGGAGTTGCAGTCCAAAACTCCTGAGTAACCCAAGGTTAAGAACCACTGGGCTAGCCTGTTGTATCACTGCTTCTATCCAGCTGAAGTCTCATCAGCTCACATCTGGCTCCTGGCTCCCTGTTAGTGTGGCTCATACTGAGACTTTAGTTTTTCCAGTTTTAACCAGCTATCACTCCAGATTGTACCACTTTCTCTCCAGTCCTTGGCCTAAGGCTGCATTGCCGTGTGGCAGTTTCTAAGAATGTCTGTGTACTGACACAGAGCTGATGTGTGGCGAGTTACAGAATGATTGTTCCTTTCTGGACAACCAGCCCAAACAAGCCCCCAAGAGCATTTTAACCTTTGCATGATATGCTTTGAGATAATTTTCAATAAGAACACAATGTTCCCCTGCATAGTATGGGTGGCTGGTGTTCCTCCACTTTAAAAGTAAGACTAATTAGATGTGTGCATGTGCATGAAAGAAATGGGGAAGCACACAGCCACCAGATAAAAATACTGCAAAGATAATATTTCAGAAAATGCTAACTTGCAACAATTGGATGGCCTTGTTTTATTTTGCCACTTAAAAAAACAAAAGAGCTGGATGAATTTCTGAAAGGCATAGTTGAACTGTGAGGGAGAGATTAAGGTAAAGGTAAACTGTGAGGGAGAGATTAAGGTAAAGGTGGCCTTGACGTTTAGTCCAATCGTGTCTGACTCTAGGGCACGGTGCTCATCCTCGGCTCCAAGCTGTAGAGCCAGCGTTTGTCCGAAGACAGTTTCCATGGTCATGTGGCCAGCACAACTAGACACAGAATACCATTATCTTCCCACCATGGTGGTATCTATTTATCCACTCACATTTACATGCTTTCGAACTGCTAGGTTGGCAGGAGCTGGGACAAGCGACGGGAGCTCACTCCGTCGCTTGGATTCGATCTTATGACTGTTGGTCTTCTGACCTTGCAGCACAGAGGCTTCTGCAGTTTATCCCACAGCACCACCACGTCCCTGAGGGAGAGATTACCATAGGCATCCTTTAGTCTTGAGAGACTATGGTAACATGCTCTGAATCGAGGAGGGTCCTCTCCAGAGCATGAAGCCCGGGTAAGGTAATATGGAGGATAGGCTGTTACCCAAGCAGCAGATCCCCCCTCTCCACATTGCTGAAATGGTCCATGTGGTCAGGAGACAAAACGAAAGCCCAGGGAAAAAAACTCAGCAAGGCATCCATGGAAACAGACCTGGCCTTCGCCCTCAGCCCAGCTTCCTAGGAAAAAGAATCCAGGGCCCTGGGACACGCTCTTTTAAAGCAGGAAGTCCCATCCCTAGGTCCCACCCCCAGGCCATGTGGTCAGGAGACAAAACGAAAGCCCAGGGAAAAAAACTCAGCAAGGCATCCATGGAAACAGACCTGGCCTTCGCCCTCAGCCCAGCTTCCTAGGAAAAAGAATCCAGGGCCCTGGGACACGCTCTTTTAAAGCAGGAAGTCCCATCCCTAGGTCCCACCCCCAGGCCATGTGGTCAGGAGACAAAACGAAAGCCCAGGGAAAAAAACTCAGCAAGGCATCCATGGAAACAGACCTGGCCTTCGCCCTCAGCCCAGCTTCCTAGGAAAAAGAATCCAGGGCCCTGGGACACGCTCTTTTAAAGCAGGAAGTCCCATCCCTAGGTCCCACCCCCAGGCCATGTGGTCAGGAGACAAAACGAAAGCCCAGGGAAAAAAACTCAGCAAGGCATCCATGGAAACAGACCTGGCCTTCGCCCTCAGCCCAGCTTCCTAGGAAAAAGAATCCAGGGCCCTGGGACACGCTCTTTTAAAGCAGGAAGTCCCATCCCTAGGTCCCACCCCCAGGCCATGTGGTCAGGAGACAAAACGAAAGCCCAGGGAAAAAAACTCAGCAAGGCATCCATGGAAACAGACCTGGCCTTCGCCCTCAGCCCAGCTTCCTAGGAAAAAGAATCCAGGGCCCTGGGACACGCTCTTTTAAAGCAGGAAGTCCCATCCCTAGGTCCCACCCCCAGGCCATGTGGTCAGGAGACAAAACGAAAGCCCAGGGAAAAAAACTCAGCAAGGCATCCATGGAAACAGACCTGGCCTTCGCCCTCAGCCCAGCTTCCTAGGAAAAAGAATCCAGGGCCCTGGGACACGCTCTTTTAAAGCAGGAAGTCCCATCCCTAGGTCCCACCCCCAGGCCATGTGGTCAGGAGACAAAACGAAAGCCCAGGGAAAAAAACTCAGCAAGGCATCCATGGAAACAGACCTGGCCTTCGCCCTCAGCCCAGCTTCCTAGGAAAAAGAATCCAGGGCCCTGGGACACGCTCTTTTAAAGCAGGAAGTCCCATCCCTAGGTCCCACCCCCAGGCCATGTGGTCAGGAGACAAAACGAAAGCCCAGGGAAAAAAACTCAGCAAGGCATCCATGGAAACAGACCTGGCCTTCGCCCTCAGCCCAGCTTCCTAGGAAAAAGAATCCACCCCACTGTTATAAGAGCAAGAAATGCACTATTGTTGGGCATTGACATAGTTTTTTCTCCAGCACATAATATTGTATCATGGTTGCTAAAAATGTATCAGCAAGAGAAGCACAGTCATGAGGAAGGATATGTGGCTGTGATGGATAGATGAGAAACAGATAACACACAAGCATTCAGGAAACTGGAAGGACCTTTTTGATTGGTTGGCTTATCAACACTGGGTGGATACAAAAACAACAACAAGGGTAACCATGTTGGCCATTAAGACAGATACCAATATCATAGTAATACTTTAATTAGGCCAACCAAAAAGACACAACAGTCTGTGCATGGGATTGTTTGAAATTTGTTTCTAAGAATGCTTAGCTTGATTTGATTTAGGTTTCACTCCTGGAACCTATTTCAGGGTTCAGTTCTGGCTTGGCAAGTGTAAAAATAATACAGAGAGAAGAACACCATCAAATAGGTGAAGTGAGCAAGCTTTCTTTTCCTAGACTAGGCCTATGAACTTCAGAAGGTCTGTTTTGAAGAATCAATTATTGATTGAAACCTTGCAGAGCAATGTTTCCTTGGGTCCTGATTTGTTTTTCTTTGCAACTCCCAGAAATCCTGGCTAGCACAGCTAGTGGTGAAAGCTTCTGGGGACCAAAGGGTGGGAGCCACTGCTATAGAGCACGAGTTTAGAAAATCTCTGAGCAATAGAACAACTCTGTTTTGCTTTGTTTCTCTATGCTTTGCTAACTTCCTGGTGCTTTGGCTCATACGTCTCTTCCTAAAAATAGCTGGCTAAATAAGAGGGTTTAGCTGTGTATGAGCTCACAGGATAGTTGCTAGGCTCAAAGAAAGGCAGATTTTGACACTTGTATCAATCTAAGACCAAAACAAAGCAAACGCCTGCCTGCTGTAGTTCAATATTCTTCTTATTATTAAAGTAATTCTTCTTATTCTTCCTATTCTTATTTGTGTGTGTGTGTGTGTGTCTAGGTAGAGGTGCCCATCCACATCCTTGAAGGGGACTCTGCTCTGATTACCTTCCAAGGAATAGGCTTTGATCCACATGTGATGGGAGAGACAGCACAGTTTGACAAAGTGGTGTCTTCTGCTACAACACCAGGCTCTGCCAAATTAATAGTGCCTGGTCTAGTAAGTGTCAGAGGTTGCTGTCCTTCCAGTACCAACCAAGTGAAACCATGGGATTGAGGGAGCTATTGTCCTCTGTGCATTACTTTTGAATAGTCTTATTCCCCTCCCGCAGCTACAACTATAGTATTGATTTTAGTGCTGCTGCTTAATTTAAACCAGGCATGCCAAATGAATGTTATTTTTTCTTCTTTTTCAAGCCTCTGGCTGGCTGTAGTACACAGCTATTCCTAGGATTGTGCAGGCCAATGTTAGGTTGCATCTGTGCACCTGGATGCTTTTATACTAGTTGCAGTACACAGATGGAGCCATCCAGCCATGCAATCAGATTTGTACTTAGGTCAAATCAAAATTGGAGACACTGTTCTTGGTATAGCTGTATTGCCACCTGCATGGTGCTAGGAGAAGTGCTGGCTGGCCTGGTGCCCCACAACCATCACCTTGTTCTTGATTTAGAAGTTGGTAGATCCTGAAAGATCACTGTGGTAGCTCCTGAAAGTGCAGGCAAAGCTGCCATAACCTCCACAACCAAGGAAGAATAACATGTGCTTTGTAAACTTCCAGTTGGTAGCCTACACAGTTCACAAAAAGATCAACACACTGTGCAAATTAAATACCTCTTCCTTGGTCATTCATTTTGAAAGGATGTTATTTTACCAGGATGATCCCAGATGCAGCAGGATGTCCCTGGTAGTATGATGGCCTCACCAGAGGGATCCCCTTGTGATGTTATGCCATGGGCCTTTAAACAGCACTCTGTGAACGGCTGAAGAAGCTGTTTAAGTGGCATAGTGACTGCTGAAAAGGGTCCCCTGCAAAGCTGGGGATCAATGCCACAGATGTACTGTCTGTGGGGACTGCATGGTGGAGTCAGCATGCCAGAACCAGCCATCTTAAGAAGGTGCAAGGCTGATGTGGAAACTTAGCATGTCATCCAGACAGTTCTCATAGTTCCTGCTTGCAAATATTATGGCTGTGGCACAGAGGCCTCACAACGTAGAACCGTTTTACTGGTAGAGATTATGAGGCTTGCAAAGTCCAGCTCTGTAGCTAAACGTTCAGGAATCCATAATAAACCTGGAAGGGAACATCTGTAATGCAGCCTCTTGGGCCCTTTTTGAGGCTGTGAGGCTTCCTTTAAAATATATATTCACTGGGCATGTGGTGATACTATATTGACCGGCCCATGTCTTCTTGGCAGAGAAATAGGTGAGCACATAAGCTTGTCCCTCAGAAAGGCTGAGGTTTTTCCTTATCTTTCTGTGAAAGCATAGCATTTTAAACCTTACTGAATTGCCAGAGACTTTCGGTAGATCATTTGAACCTTGTGGTGAAACTACGCTCTGTCTTTTCTTGCTGGTGCCTCCTACTGGGAGAGAATTCCTGAAATTAAATACTATTTGTATTTGAGACAGTTTTGTGAAATAAGCTAGTAGCTAAAATAGTGAGCCATCAAGTCGATTGTGACTTATATGGTGACCCTTTCCAGGGTTTTCTAAGGATCAATGCACTCAGAAAAGATTTACCATCCCTTTCTCCTGGGAGGCACTCTGGGACTGTACAGCTTACTCAAGACTACACAGGCTGTCCTCCTGGAAGACACTGTGGAGAATCAGACTCCTGATAGATATACCTGTTCAGTAAGCTGGGTTTCATGTTGGACAACAATTGGTGTATTTTAAAGTCATGTTTCATGTGCTATTTCAGTACCCAATACAGTGTTCACTACAAATACTATGTTCCACTGTGGGTTTGGCTTCCTTCCTTGATGGAAGGAAGGGGATCACCCTCTGCTTGTTTCCTTTTCAGACAGTTTACTTGTCTCAGCCCCGGATTTGTCTGGGTAACATCCCTGTCTACAGCAAATGCAGCCGCCTTTTCTTTCTCAACAACGCCTCTGAGAATGAGGCCATTGTTTTTGCTTGGCACACTGGGATTTCAAATGCTACAGCGGTGAGTTCCGTCTTCTGTCTCCTTGTTCTTGGCCCTCCTTGGTCACCTCCTAGCTCTTCTGTTTCCTTTCAGATCCTCCAGATTTGCCCTGACTTCTGAACAGGACTGAAAGAACAAATAAAAATACCCCATAAACAGAAACAGAGAAGCCGTAGTAGTAGTAGTAGTAGTAGTAGTAGTAGTAGTAGTAGTAGTAGTAGTAGTAGTAGTAGTAGTAGTAGTAGTAGTAGTAGTAGTAGTAGTAGTAGTAGTAGTAGTAGTAGTAGTAGTAGTAGTAGTAGTAGTAGTAGTAGTAGTAGTAGTAGTAGTAGTAGTAGTAGTAGTAGTAGTAGTAGTAGTAGTAGTCTGCCAGCATGTTAATTCTGACTTATGGTGACCCTTCCCAGGGTTTTCTAGGTGGAAACTACTGTATACAGAAGTGGTTTACCCTTCCCTTCTTCTGGGGGGTGCCCTGGGAGTGAGCAGCCTGCCCAAGGCCACACAGGCTAGATCTTCTTCAAGGAGGCACAGTAATTGAACCCCCCACCTCTGCCTCCACAGTCAAATACCTAAATCACTGAGCTATCCAGCCAACAAGGGATGGTGAATATACATTAAAGAGAGAGGCACATTATGAATTGCGGTATCTTTTGCTCTTCCAAGCAAGTTTTAAGCAGATGTATTCCATCACCATAGAGGCTCCCATTCTGTTTCTATAGTGTTGTAAGCCACATGGCCTCCTCTCCCAAATAAATGATCAGACTTGTTAAGCCACATGGCTTCCTCTCCCAAATAAATGATCAGACTTGTTTCCGGATGGAGAAGTGACAGCAATATTTGGTGGAAATCCACTGTGAACTGCTATATATTCAGTATCACATTGCTTTGTTTCCAGGTATTGAATATCACTCCAGAGACAGGAATTGTGCAGCCTGGAGAGAGCACTCACTGTGTTCTCACCCTGTATGCCAGTGAAAATCCATGCTTCTACAATGTGGATCTGATCTGTGAGGTGAGGCTCAGTGAGGACATAGGACAGTTCACTCTTCAATGTCTAAACACAGGAACATTGGCATCAAGCTACAGGAAGCCTTAATGTGAACTTATAGGACAGTTCACTCTTCAATTTCTAAATACAGGAACATTGGTATCAAATCAAGCTACAGGAAGCCTTAATGTGAACTGAGAGGGCTCAAGTTCTATGGGAGGGGCTTTTCTGGCTGAAAGATGTCTGAGCAGGTTGTATTGGAGGGCTGAAACAGGGAGGCTACTGGTTGTTCCATTTGAATTCTGATGGCAGCAGTGTGGTAGCTGTAACTAGTGGTGTGATGAGGGAAGAAGGGCATGGCTTCTTGCTCAAAGCCCACCTGTAACCAACAGCTGATAAAACGATGCATATATGTGCCAGAGGAAATGCTATGGAACATCCAGGGTTCCATTCTTGCTCTCCTCCTTTCTATATTTCTTTAACTGCTAGAGTTGCAATTTGCTTTGGGCCCCAATGCTTCTAATTGCACCTCTGTGTGTAGCTGCCTTGCTTCCTCTTTGCTTGGTTGGGTAAGTAAATGTTTCCATGTATGCATTCTGCAAGAACAGGGTATTAAGCCAGGGTGAGAGTTTTACCAGAAGTTCAGCTGGAGAAGGCACCCAATCTCTCTCAAATCCTGTTAGCTATAGTTTTTTTTTTGCCCTGTAGATTTTTACTCAGTATCCACTAGATCACTATGAGAAAGAGTTACAGGAGTGGGAAGCTGAGAAGGCACGACAAGCTGTAGAGTTCACTATCACAGAGAAAGACCTGGACGTAAAGAACAACCACAAGCAACCTTTCAAGGTAAGAGATTCATCCTCAAAGTTCTGGATGCAAAATTTGTGGTTTTCTATTTACAGAATATTCTTCATGCAGACTTCACTCTAAACAGCCGTGGGAGTTGGTACCAGAGTTTAGAAATTTTTTTGGGGGGGTATGGCTTTCAGAAGACTCCCGACAGCATTGCTGGTAGATTCTGGAAGCTGTAGTCTCAAAAGACATCTTTTCCCATTTCTAATTGGATGGCAGATAGGAAACACAGGGACAAACTGTAAATTGGCTAAAGCCCTGTATGGAGGATTCTGAGAGGTTTACCCCAGAAAAGATGTCTGTGGAGTTGTGCAGCAGGATTCCAGCTGTTATGTGCTACTGCATGCTAGGTAAAGGTAAAGTTAAAGGTTCCCCTTGACAATTTTTGTCCGGTCGTGTTCGACGCTAGGGGGCGGTGCTCATCCCCGTTCCCAGGCCATACAGCCAGCGTTTTGTCCGAAGACAATCTTCTGTGGTCACATGGCTGGTGCGACTTAGACACGGAACGCTGTTACCTTCCCAACAAGATGGTCCGTATTTATCTACTTGCATTTGCCTGCTTTTGAACCGCTAGGTTGGCGGGAGCTGGGAGAAGCAACGGGCGCTCACTCCGTTGCGTGGATTCGATCTTACAACTGCTTGGTCTTCTGACCCTGCAGCACACGTTTCTGCGGTTTAGCCCGCAACGCCACCACGTCCCTGCATGCTACTAAGGGCCTTTTTATAATGTTTAAAAAAACCCTCAAGAGCTGCAGTTTTTAAATAAAGGAGCAGCCAGACAAGAAAAGAGTTCTCAGGCTTTTTTTGTGGGCAATTTCTCATGGCTTATCCCTTCTACTCAACATCAAAAAAACAAACAAACCCTAAGATCTTGGCCACTGGTCCCATCACCTTCTGGCAAATAGAAGGGGAAGATATGGAGGCAGTGACGGATTTTACTTTCTTGGGCTCCATGATCACTGCAGATAGTGACAGCAGCCACAAAATAAAAGACATCTGCTTCTTGGGAGGAAAGCAGTGACAAACCTAGACAGCACCTTAAAAAGCAGAGACATCACCTTGCCGACAAAGGTCCGCATAGTCAAAGCTATGTTTTTTCCAGGAGTGATGTAGAGCAGTGAGAGCTGGACCATAAAGAGGGTTGACTGCCAAAGAATGGATGCTTTTGAATTGTGGTCCTGGAAGAGACTCTTGAGAGTCCCCTGGACTGCAAGGAGAACAAACCTATCAATTCTAAAGGAAATCAACCCTGAGTGTTCACTGGAAGGACAGATCCTGAAGCTGAGGCTCCCATACTTTGGCCATCTGATGTGAAGAGAAGACTCCCTGGAAAAGACCCTGATGTTAGGAAAGAGTGAAGGCAAGAGGAGAAGGGGACGACAGAGGACGAGATGGCTGGAGAGCGTCATCACAGCGACCAACATGAATTTGACCCAACTCCGGAAGGAAGTAGAAGACAGGAGGGCCTGGTGTGCTCTGGTCCATGGGGTCACGAAGAGTCAGACACAACTTAACGACTAAACAACAACAACAATCCCTTCTACTCATCCAAATAACTATCTAGAATTCCACAGGGTGGAAAACAGCTTGGGGAAGAGGCAATTTTGAGCAGAAAAATGAGTGTCCAAGGAAGGGTCAAGCCACTGATTGTTGCTCTTTTGTTTAGCATTGCAGTTTCCCAAGTCTCTTTTATATTAATTTTAAAAAATACTCCACAGTTTTATTAAATTCATTTGTATATGTCAATTGCTTTTCTTTATTCCACTGTACACTCTATATCAGTATCGTTGTTACAGTTCTGCCTTCTTTGCTACCATTTTCCTTCCTTTATCTAGGGGGCTCCAAACCCTCTGGGATTTGCAAAGTCTTCTAAAGTGCTTACAGAGGCCCAGAAATACAAGGTAATATTGTCTGAAATCTGTTTTCAAAGCACATTTCTCTCAGGGTGACCTATAGGGCAGAGGGTCAGTGAAGTGCTTACTTTCTAGCTGGCATTTTTGATCAAGAATCTAGCCCTTTTCCTTATTTTGTAAAAATGAAATCAGTGTGACAAATAAAAATAATTGTGTGGCAAAGGATGTATTATACAGTGGTGCCTCGCTTAGCAATTGCCTCGTTTAACGATGTATTCGCTTAGCGATGAGGTTTCTGGAGCGATTTTGCACTCCGTTTAACGATGTTCCCTATGGGGAAAATTCGCATAGCGATGTTTGGGACCTTGCCTCGCTTAGTGATGAGTTTTGCTTAGAGATGTCCCGTTTTTGAAATTTTAAGTGTGTCTTAAAAGGTTAAAAAACAGTTTTAAATGCTTGGAATCGTTAGTGCACCTTCTAAAATGTGTGCAAACTTAATTTGGCTTTGTTCTGACTCTTCGTTAATTTTTGGTGAATTTTTTTCCCCATTGAAATGCATTGAACCCGATTTTGACAGCTGTCAAAATCGGGTTCAATTCATTTCAATGGGGAAAAAAATTCACCAAAAATTAACGAAGTGTCAGAAACAGTTTTAAATTCTTGGATTTGTTAGAGCACCTTCTAAAACGTGTGCAAACTCAATTTGGGTTTGTTCTGACTCTTCATTAATTTGTGGTGAATTTTTCCCCCATTGAAATGCATTGAACCCGATTTTGACAGCTGTCAAGATAATATTGTATGTTGTTTTTAATAGGAATGTGCACTAGCACCAAAATTAAGATTTGGAATTTGGATTTGGAATGCAGAATTGCAGCCCTTCAGATCTGGAATTTTGAAAATTTGGAATTTCTGGTTATTTGGAACTCTGTTACAATCAATTTGAATACCATATGACATTATTTTCCCCTTTAAAAACAACAACAACAGGCAAAGCATTTTTGAAAGGTTTCTCTGTGTCCTCTGACACTTTGCCACTGATTGTGTCAAACAAAAAGCGTGTGCATCAACAGTGAGCAGTGTCTAGGTATTAGAAATGGACTGGAATGGGCATCCTGTTTGAACCCTGAACAGTGGGAATGCTGGCAGGAAAAGCCAGCAACATTGGGGAAGCAGAGGTAACCGTCACACTGGGGAGTGGGCAAAGGACCCGGGCAGGACTGGCAGGCAGACTGAAGCAGCAGATCGCCTGCGGTGGGTGGGAATTGTGCGAGCAGCCCTGGGCCCCCGTGCAGTTGAGTGTGGGAGTACATTCCTGAAGTCGCTGTTGGAAAAACGAGAGAGGCTGGAGGAAGGTGCAGCAGACGGAAGCATGGCACACCTCGTCCTTTGAGCAGAGTGCACCCGTCTCTCTTCCTTGAAGGGGACTTCAGGGAAATCCAGCCGTGGTCGCTTGACGTTAAGGAAGACAGGTTTTTCTGCAGGTCCAGGTTCCAGGCATGAGCAGTGTGGGCTGACAGTGTCCCCTGCCTGATAAAACGCCCTCTCCTTTGGGCGCACTAGTTGATGGGCAAGACAGCAGTCCCACGGCCACCCTGGCTAAGCCTCCCAGGCAGACTCCTTCTCAGCCCAGTAAGACAAGGGATCACTCTCTTTTGGCCCCTGGGGCTCCTGCACCTCTGCCTCTAGCTCTGCCTCTGCCCTGTCCTTTCTCTGGGGTGGCGTCTCCAGAAGGCAGTGTTCCAGAAAGCTTGCCTTGTTGCTGCAGGGGTGTGGGGCTTGGATGCTGGAATATAACCGCTGGCACTGCTGGCAGGAGGTGCCATGCACATTGCTTGTTCCCTCCTGTACTCTGTGACCCCCTCAGTGCCAGCTGGGCCTTCTAGCTGCTGCTGCATTTGATGGAAAGTTGGCTGGCATTGCCACCTCCCCTGGAATGCACTCCTCTTTCTTCCACAAGGAGGCAAACCTGTCATGGAGCAGGTCCTTTAGCTTCCTGGCCAGGGCCACCACTTCGGGCCAGGAAAAGGCTTTTCCCCCTCTCCGGAATCCCCCCTCCACCTTGACTGTTCCATTATTATGCCCTTATTTATTATAGCTGTCTTCCGACTAAGGACCTGCGTTGCATTCTCCAAGCTGTGGAGGACATCGACCCCTTGACCCACCATGTCCCAATTCTGTTCAGTTGACTAGCTTCCAAGAGCTTCAAACCACTAAGTTTTAATGCCTTTTAATTTCTTCTCTAACAGACTCTTCCTCCCATTAAGAACATCCAGGGGCCTCACCCTCCAGCAAGCCGCAGTGAGAGGAGGAAATTAAGAGACAAAGAGGCCAGTAGGCTGTGGGCCAAACCGGAGCCCCCCAAGCCCTTCCTCATACACCTTGGGGTCACAGCCAGATCCCACTCAATGGATGAGTTCCTGACCAACTTTGCAGATGACTTACCCCAGCACTTCCTGTACCGGTAAGGCAAACTGCCTTCCTTGTTGCCAGTTCCCTGGACATGTTAAGACAGCTGCCTACTCATTACCCAGATGTACTTGTAATTAGTATCCAACAGTAGTTCCATCTAAACACAGTGTGCATGGAAATCACAAAATCTGCAGAAACCAGATCATTCAATATGAGTGCGACCTTACTTGTTGTGCTTCTTAATGCAGATACATTAGGAAAACAATGTATAGGCCAACACAGGACATTGGGTTGAGGCACAATAGCACATGAAAACTTCACACATTCAATTCATAGTGTGTGATATCTAAAGCCAGCCATGTTATTTTGACACAGAAAGCAGAAAACTACATAAGCATCCCTTCTCATCTGGGGCTGTGAAAATACAGCAGCAATAAATTACCAAGCCTTTGCTGCCATTTCCAGCTACCTGAAGTCAACAACCTCACTCTGCTTATCAACAGGGCCAACCCTGCTCATGTGGGAAGTGGTGCTGACATTTGATAACCATTTTGTCTCTTCCAGTACATTTCTGTAAAGTGTCAGAGACAAACATTTCCAGACATCCTCTGATTTACAACACACTCACATATTGTTTGTAAAGGTCTTTCAGTGTTCTTTGTTGTCTGTATTCTAGCCAAACTAAGAAGAAATCAGCAAGCAGTGGTGCCACAGAGAGGACCTCTGTGAACAGGGGCAAAAAGAAGAAAGAGCCCACAACCATTCCAAGTTGGACAGAACTAGCAAGCTGTACAGAACAGGAGGCCCAGCTAGTGACGGACATGTTGTCCACAGTAATAAAGTGGGTAATTTATTATTATCCTTATTTTGATTTTATACCATTATGTTTATTGTTTTGAACACTGTATGCTTAATATGTAAATTGGCCAGAGTGGCCTGGTAGCCAGATGGGCCGGTATATAAGCTAGCTAGCTAGCTAGCTAGCTAGCCAGCCGGATGGATGGGTGGATGGGTGGATGGATGGATGGATGGATGGATTCTTTTCCAGAAATCTTACTGTATGAAAACAGTATAACCACTGGTAACAAGGTGCTCTGAAGGGCATCTGGGTAAGATTCCTGCTGGGAGAGTTAACTCTTTATGAACCTATGGCAAATATGCATCTCTCTCTCTCTCTCTCTCTCTCTCTCTCTCTCTGTGTGTGTGTGTGTGTATTTGTGCTTTATTCATACATGCATTGCTTACAATTCTTTTTTGCATGCTCACTCATTGTAACTGGATGTATTGGACGATGCATGCAAATTATCTTTTGGGAATGGCTCCCAGTGACCTTTTCTTAATGTTGTCCATTTCCCAACACACACTGGGGCATCCAGTTAGATTATTTTTATTCATGCATGGCTCTTTTCACTTTTATGGAAAGTGAAAGAAGTAAGTGTCAAGCAGAACTGCAGTTGAAGGTAAGCAGTCAAAATTAATGATCACAGAAGAATCATACAACTTTTGCGCTGACAGTGAAAACACTGAAATACAGTAGTTAGAGTGAGTTTTTTAAAAGCCCTTTTTATGTTGTAAATTACATACAACTGCATTTCATTTAACAGAACAAGTAATCAACAGTAAATTATGCAAATTTCACGAGTATAAAACACATAAACAATTAAGCATTTTAACTTTATTTATGCCAAAATGTTCTATTGAGAGGCTGGGATTTTACTGTAGTAATAGAGGACATTTAGAAACTTAGAATCATAGAAGAATGGAGCTGGAAGGGGCCTGTAAGTCCCCTGAGTCTAAAACCCTGATCAGTGCAGGAATCCATATCTAATATATCTGGCAAATGGTTGTGTAATTTTCTCTTGAATGCCTCCAGCTTTGGACTGCTCACCACCTCCCAAGGTAATTGGTTCCATTATCATCCCGGTCTGACAGGACGTTTTTTCCTGACATTCAACCAAAATCTGGCTTCCTTAACTTGACCCTATTATTACATGTCCTGCACTCTGGGATAATTATGAACAGATTTTACCCCTTCTTTGTATAATGATATTTCAAGTATTTGAAAAGTGCACTCATATCTCCCCTTAGTCTCCTTTTTTTCAAGGCTAAACATGCCTAGTTCTTTCAATCTTGCTGCTCTTCTAAGCACTAGTTCCAGTTTGTCAGCATCCTTTTTAAACGGTGGTGTCCAGAACTGGACACAGTACTTAAGATGAGGCCTAGTTATCTTCTTGGAATCATGGAGGATAGGTGACATAACAGATGATTGGAGGGAGGATAATGTCTCTATATTCAAAAAAGGCAAAAAGGAAGAACCACGGAACTACAGGCCAATCAACCTGATATCAATCCCATGGGAAATTCTGGAGCAGATTATGGAACCACGGAACTACAGGCCAGTCAACCTGATCCCATGGGAAATTATGGAGCAGATTATAAAATGTTTGCTTTGGAAGCACCTTGAAAACAATGCAGTAAAAACTAGAAGCCAACATGGATTTGTCAAGAACAAATCGTGCTAGACTTAATCTTATCACATTTTTAATTAGGTAAACTAACTTGTAGATGTGGGAATGTTATAGATGTAATACATTTTGACTTCAACAAAGCTTTTGTAATCTTATCACATTTTTTAATTAGGTAAACTCCCTTGTAAATGTGGGAATGTTGTAGATATAATACATTTTGACTTCAACAAAGCTTTTGACAAACCGACCCACAATATTCTGATTAGTAAGTTACCTAGGTGTGGACTGGATAGAACAACTGTTAGGTAGATATATAGTTGGTTACAGAATCAGACTCAGAAAGTGCTTATCAATAGCGCCTTCTCAAACTCTGAGGAGGTAACAATAAATTTCCATAAGGCTCAGTCCTGGGCCCAGTACTCTTCAACATTTTCATTAATGACTTGGATGAGGGAGTGTAGGGTATACTTATTAATTTGTCAGTGACTCAAATTGAGTGTAACAGCTAATACCTTGCAAGACAGGAACAGAATTCTAAAATATCTTGATAGACTTGAGCACTGGACTGAAAACAGCAGAATGCAATTTTAGACTGCATTAACAGAAATATAGTTATCCAAATCCCATGAAGTACTAGCTTTGCTGAACTTCAGCCTCTCTCTTGTCTTCCTGTGGGGTCTCCTGTATGTCTTCCTCTGCATGCTATCTGCCAGACTCCTTCTCAAGAATCTGAAAGTGGTTTTGCAGTTCCACTGGTGAAGAGCATTTTCTCCTTCTTTTGCTTGTAAATGTGACCCTTTTCCATTGTGTTTCATCCACTACGTTTGTTGCTCTCTCCTCAGCATTCTCCGCCTCTGCCTTGTCTGTTCCTCCTCCTGTAAGTGCCTCCTTTGGCGACAGCTGCTCAAGAGTTCTGTCTCTCTATTCTTCATCTTCTCTTATAGCCTGAAGCGTGACCATTTGCTCCTCCAGTTCTTTCCCTTTTCCTTCCAACATGGCTACCAGATTGCACTTGCTGCATATGTACACTGTGTTGTTCTCAGGCACAAAAACAAACATTGCACACATGCTGCAGGTCACCACCACTGAAATGTCTTTTCCCTCCATAATCTTCATTTGCCTTTTTATTTTCTTCTTTTTGTCTGTGAGAGCCCTTTCCTTTGTCTTGTCTGCCTTGAAGGATTCTAGGAAGGTCCAATAATATATCACTCATGCAGCTCCTCAGAGTGAGCTATGTGATATTGCTGACGTGATTTTATTGTTTTACTCATTGGAGCTTTACAATATATCATCTACATATGATTATAAAGCTTGGATTTAATGTGTTGTTGTTTTTAAGCATAGCACTGTTGTCCATATGTGGACATCAAAAAAAGAGTCAATGATATGCTTGCATTCTTCTCCCAGGTTTCTTTGTTTTTACTCGCCCTGCTAGAGTATTGCTGGATTTGGAGGCCTGACCCATAAGACACAAAGCTACATAAGTATCACACGGGCTATCATATAGGATCGATCTTGGGCCCCAAGAAATACATTCATGGTTGCAGCTCAAGCCAACTAGTTCTCTTTTTTTTAGGGTTTGGCTGCGAAGACTGGATGAGACAGTGGTGAGTTTTCCTAATGTCTAACTAAATGTCCCTCTTGATATTCCAGAGGTTTGCTGGAGGAGACCCAATTCCAAGAAGCCGTGATCAGAAGCCTTGCAGAGCCCACCCCCTACTTCTGCCAGTTTTGGAGTCCAGAGTCAGCCAAACAGAAGCACAGCCCAAGTGGCACCTCCCCAGCAGCTTTCTCTCCAGAGAGCAGCCCTAAGTGTAGGGTTGAAAGTGAAGCTTCCGAGGGGGAAAAGGCATCTCCTGCAGGCAGCTCAGATGCTCAAGAGAGTGTCAGTGTCATTATTCGCAAGGAACACTTTCGTGAACAGAAGGAAGCCATTATGAGGTGAGCAAAATGAATGATCTTGGTGGGAGCTCCAAGCAGAGTTGTATATTTTTGAACTTGTGTGGGCACAGATTTTTTGATAACACTCTTCTCCCCTCCCCCCCCCATTCCTACCTGCCTGGAATGTTGTTGGCAGAGGAGAGTGAATGTGTTCACGGAGCTCGTGATTGGTCCCCTGCCTCAGTTTTAAACCCCACACACACACACACACTTATTGCCCAACCCTCCCAAAAGTTCAGAAAGCTGTCACCTTCCTCGTGCTTCTGCCACATCTACCACCTCCTTTTTTCTCAAGTATTCCCGAATGTAATGTGTTGCCAAGAAAACAGTGCACTGAAGAAGCGCCTGTCTCAGTCATGGGCTGCTGCCACGTTTCTCTGCAAAAGCCAAAGGAGTAAAACAAAACAAACAAAGAGAGCCACTTACTCATAAAAGAGCTCTAATTGGAGGCACTGATGAGGTAGGTCAGAATCTGTCCTTTTCCTTGATACTGAGGTCATCGCTTTCTGACCTGCAGATTCAGTTTTTCTCTCTTTTGTTTCCCCTCTTTTACTTTTCCCCTTATAAGTCAATGGCGGGGGAGAGGACTCACTTCTTTGGGGGAAAGTCCAGATGCTGCAGCCAGGGACATAACTGAAGTCAATGGGGACAACTCTTCTTTCTTGGAGCACCAAAGTTAAGGGGTGGGGAATCAGGTTTAGCCCCTGATCTCAGCAGTACTCCTGGGGGTGGGGTCAGCTGCATTACTTTCTACCATAGAAGTGAGTGGCTCCCATTCACATCTATGGGAGATGGTAAACACAGTCTGCTTCCCATTTATACAATTGTGAAGGGCCCTAGCAGAGTGGAGAGGGGCAATGTTGTTACTAAACTCCTCAGACCCAGGATCTCATAGCCATATTGTATGCATATTATACCTGCTGGGAGCTTCTGTGGGATGTAGGTTTTTGTTTTTATCATATGATCCAGCCATCATTCCTATGAACATGCCCTTTCAACAAATCTGGAATCTGCTTCTGAGACAAAAGAATACCTTCTCAGCTGGTGGGCCTTTGGCTGATTAGGTCTCGAGTCCCGGACATGGTGTTTGCTGCTGTTAGAAAACAAAGGAGCCGGGTGGGCACTCTGCTGTGACACGTTCTGTAAGCATTCTGGGAAACAGCAGGGGACACTGAAATGCTCTTTCTTTTCAGGATGCCAGCATTTGCGAATCTGACAGAGACGGTGCTGGACAATACCATCCAGAACATTCTAGTGGAGGCCAGTCGTGGAGAGGTGGTGCTGACAGCACGACCCAGAATCATTGCACTCCCTCCCCTTTTCGCTCAAAAGTGAGTAGATGGGATATAAGCGTGTGGCGTTAAAGGATTGCCCAAAAATCAGCATTTCCTTTTCAGTGTGGGGTGGTGGTGACTGGGACTTGAGACAAAGGAACGTCTCTGATGCCCATTGGAGCTGCGAAATCTTTTTAGGTGTGGTTGGCATATTCTCTTTTTCTCTCTTGCAGCCAATGAATTCCATCCTTTGCAGGTCTTCACCCTGTTTATGGGTCTGCGGGCAGACCAGGCTACTCCATTCTTTGCTTTGCTTTGAAGCCTGGGAGCATCTGCAAAAAGGGGCTGGTATTGGAGAGGTTTAGAGGAGGCTTGGGTAGAGGGAGGTGCATAAGAAAGTAACTAACATGCTAAGCTTAGAGAAGGCTCTAAGGTAGCATCAGTGCTTCTGAAAAGGAAAAGCAGGTTTCTTCTAGGATAGAAGGTTCTCATAGCAGCTGCTACTACACAAGGGCCCCTGACAAAATGCTTGCCTCGCCCCTTTTCTGAAAAGCCGGGACATTGAATCTGGGCCTTAATACAGGCATTTACTATGGTGGCGGTGATGCTGCAAACATTCAAAGGGTTGTTGTTGTTGTTTTGTCTTTCAGAGGCATCAGTCCCATCGTTTCGATGATCCACAAGCCCTCTTTGGCCCAGCCTTCTACCGGGCCACTGGTCAACACTCTCAGAGAAACGAAGGACTGTGAGGGGCAGCGACACATTGTCTTACCCCCCTAGGAGACGTCAGGGACTTTGATACCACCCAGGTCTTGGGTTTGTGGTAGGCTGGCCCCTGGATATGAGCCACAGAACTGCTCTGCTTTGGAAAGCTACTGCATTGCAGCAGGCTCGAAGGGGAGACGGCTTGCATCAGAACTTGCAGTGGCCCTGCCTCATGCCACAAGGGCAGAAGATCTGATCCTGTGACGTTCGAAGCAAAGTGGAAGCAGTTCCGGCTGTACCGTGTGTGAAAGAGAATGAGGTTTTTCAAATGAGGACGACTCTGCCTGCCTTTTTGCCAGCTGTTGGTGTTGTCAGTGTTCACATTTATTTCCAGCAGGGGGTGTTGCAGGATTCTACATAGTGTTCTAGCTGGGGTTGGTGCAAGGTCTCTTTCCCTCTGCTCCCCACGGTGCCTCCATGAAAATGAAATGATGACTGCCAGACAAAAAAGCCACTGATAACCCAGGTTAGGATGCAACTGCTTAAGACGGAGGGTATGTATGGAGAGATATTTTCCTCCCTTTCCAGCTTTCAGTCAACCCAGTGTTTGACAGTGATGGGCATGACATTCAAAGAAAGGACCAGATGAATAGACTAGAAACATTAACAGAATTAATTAATTAATTAATAGATGTGATCAGGTTTTTGGCCCACTCCACTAAGTGCTGTGTTAGGAGCACAGGTCCCTGTGTTGCAAATTTCACAAAGATGCAAGTAGCTGCTCAGCTGGCCTGTCCCCTTCATAGATTCCTTAAAGGTCTGTTGTGAGACCTGTTCCTGAATTTGCCGGGGACACTTAGAAATCAAACGATATTCTTCCTATGGGATGAGTAGAACACTGATGAGTAGAAAAAGGAACTTTTTTTATATAATTAGTTTTTTCACTACTTCATTCCTCATTGTGACCTTATAGCCCTCTACCATATACTCCTTTGTCTCCTCTCAAGAACCTGCATATATTTACCATGAATTTAGTTATCAGAAGCCTTGATGATTTCTCTTGTTTATTTCCTTGATTCTTTCCCAGTTTGGGTCTGTCTTTTAAGATGGAGCAAGCAGAAGTGTATTATATGAGAATGTGTACTGAAACAATCCCTAGTGGGTGGTTTTTTGATAATTAATTGTTTCTTTAATTGTTTCTCAAATTATCTTTCCTTTGGGAGGTATTTTCTGCCGCTGCTTTAGAGTAAGAGTGCAATTGGACAAGGAAACAGCTCATAGTTTGAACTTCTTGTGGCACTGTCTGGTGCAAGCTATTTCCTAGCAATTACATGATACACAAGAGGTCACAAAACAGCCTGACCCTGATGAGTGCCCATGCTGGACCATTTTGTTCCGGTGGCAGGGCTACTCTTTTTTAGGGGTGGGCTGGAGAAGTTGCTGCAGAGACAGGATTGCCCCTCTCCCAACAAAGCACCCCTTTCTGGTGCAATCAGACATGATCCTTTCTTGCTGTCTGATCACACTCTTGGTTACCACCACAGATGTACACTTGTTTGAAAACTGAAAGCAGAAAACTTCATTATCCAACTCTGAGAGGCAGCACACACAAGCAGTAGACCAGTGAACAGGATGCTCAGGTGGTACCTCACCTGGTGTTAGCATTCAGCTTGCTGGATTTTTCTGTAGGGAATCCTGTATCTCATTACAGAATCTCAGACTTGACTGCAGAAGGATTGCACAGTGCGTTTGCAATACTGCTTTTCTTTTTTTTTTAAATGCTAAATTTGTACCAGTGGAGCTATATAACAATTTACCATAGCTAGCTTGTTTATTTCTTTCAGCAGAAATCTATTCATTGCCCAAACCCACATCAAGGTTTTACTCACCCCATCCTCTCACATGGATGACTAGATGGTGCACAGACATGCTGAAGTACGTTCAGCATGTCCTAAGAGAAGCAAACACACATCATTTCCAAAGCTGATTAGGGAGCATGCACATCTTTGTGCTGGGTTGTAGAGGGATCAAATTTAAATATTGGTCTGGACACACCTTGAGAGTGTGCGGTGGACAACGAACAGCCATGCATTGCTACCACAGATGACTCTTGCGTTTCTGGAGCACAGGCTGGATGGAACTGCAGGAGCACTGGAAGCAATGGCTGCTGCATTCAAACACTTTCAAACAGCAGTTAACTCCATCAGCACTTCTGCACTCTCCACATTTCCAGTGCTCTCTCAGGTGAGTTTGCTTCAGAAGTAACTTCAAGAGCAACATGTGTTTCATAGAATTCTTGTGTCACCACAGAAGGGTAACTCAGTCATCTTAAAATAGAAGTATTCAGGCTGATACTAATTTATTTCAGCGCAGTGACAATGGTTTGCATCTAAGTTCTTTGTTTTGTATGGGGTGGATATTCTGGGAGCCATTATACAAACACAGATTTCTACAATTATTCTGGTAAACCAAATTGTAGCATTTTGGTGGTATTAAAGAAGTACTTCCTATCCCATTTAACAGCAGAGGAGCCAGGACTTTGTCATAAATGTGGAACATGTTTATTCAGCAGTAAGTCTCTGCATTGAATTCAGTGGGACATATTTCCTTGTAAGTATGCTCAGGGTGGCCGCCTTAGACAGTGATGCTAAAGTAATACTGTAGCTGAAAGTGGGGAAGTACAATTGCAATTAGAATATGGCCTGAGGTGGTTAAAAGACCTTAGAATATCCTAGGTGCTAAAAAGACCACTGCATTATTACTCCGAGCATCACTATCCTGTTCCTTAGTCTTCTATTTCCCCCACAAACTGGTTTAGCCTATGGGAGGTAGGGTTGAAAGCTCCTATCTCATCACTGCAGCATAGGGTGTGACTATATTGTAATTTGATTCATAGCCTGCATAACATTTGAAATTGCAGTTAGTGCTCACACAGGGGCTGTGGAATTCACTGTTAATAATGGATGTGATATGAGTCACATTCCAGCCCATGCCCCCCTTCTTTCCTTCCTTCCTCTGGTCCCACCTCTGCCCATCTGATGAGAAATCATAATGATGGCTTTGTGATCAGGTGATAGGATGGTCAAGTGCTACTTTCATATAACACATTTACAAACTGATAAAACCCAGCAAAGCTAATAAAATCAGACACTTTATAGCTTGGTTAATAGATTGGTTAATAGATTGGTTAAAGATTTTTTTAAATAAATTAGAGGATGATTGGGAGAGAGGAAAGAATTATGTTCCCCCAGTCCTGAACATCACACTCCAAGTGCCTACATCACCAAAACACCACCTACAGACATGCCCCTCCTATCTTTATAAGAACATATCACAACTAATCACATGTGGGAAAGCACATTCAAATCATTCCATCTTGAAAAAGTAGAATTCTCCCTAGCGGCAGAGAAAGAAAGCCATTTGGGACAACAAAAAGGCCTAGACCAATTCAAATTAAGCTTTGCATCATGTGGGCAGTAAAAAAAAGAATTTACCTGTTTTATAAGCAGAGCAAATCCTGTGGTATTGGACCATGTATGCTTGGCCTGTCCTTATTTCTCAAGTGTCCTTTCAAAATGGAATCTGTGAATTTGGGAGCCTCAGCATCAGATTAGACATGATATTCATTCTGTGAATGCAATTAATATCTACATACTAGTTCTGTTGTGTAAATGGCAGCCTAAGAAGCTTTGGAATTAGGAGGCAAAGTTTAAGTCCTCTTCTTACATTCCTGGCCTTGAAAACAGCAACCTCTCCAAAAGCTGCTGTTTGCATTCTAAGAGACAGCCTTCTCTGATGCCAGTGGGTGCTTCCTTGGAAGTGCAGATGAAGAGCTGAAACTTCCTTCTCAAAGCTGTTCGTGTTGTCCTTGCAAACAAATAGTAACAGGAGAACAATGCATAGTAATTGCATTCATATAGTTATGTTATTGTTTTGTCATTAAGTCGTGTCTGACTCTGTGACCCCAGGGACCAGAGCACACCAGACCCTCCTGTCTTCCACTGCATCCCGAAGTTGGGTCAAATTCATGTTGGTTGCTTCGATGACACTGTCCAACCATCTCGTCCTCTGTTGTCCCCTTCTCCTCTTGCCTTCGCACTTTCCCAACATCAGGGTCTTTTCCAGGGAGTCTTCTCTTCTCATGAGATGGCCGAAGTATTGGAGCCTCAGCCTCAGGATCTGTCCTTCCAGTGAGCACTCAGGGTTGACTTCCTTCAGAAGGGATAGGTTTGTCCTCTTTGCTGTCCAGGGGACTGCAAAGAGAACAAACATACAGTTAACATCACCACTATTTCAACTCCCTGGTTCCTGGGGTTACTTTCTTGACAGTGTTTCCACAATAAAACAACCAATGTTGGAGAAATACAAGGATCAGATTGTATCTTGATAACTCATTACCGGATGAGAAACAACAAGGTGCTGTTGTAGCCAGGATTTAACGCCTGGCCTTTGAGCCAGCTCTATATTACAAATCAACAACCAACCAACCAACCCCTCTGGAAATGCTCTTTGCCAGTGGTCAAAGTGAGAAACAGATCCCAGTTGTTTAATGGGAATAGTCATGCATGTTTTAACCATCCCTTTTGCTCTTATGCTCTTAACAAGTTTCAGCAGTAGATTTCCATATGTGAAAAGTATTGTCTCTATAGCTTATCCTGTCTACAATCTCCAGAATCTGTTACAGGCCTGGGTGTGTCTATATGTCTACATGCATGCACCACATGCATTTGGTCTACGTACATGCCATGGCATAGTCACAACATGTAACCCAATGCTTGTTCTGTGACCAACTATTGTATGCAACCTACCACATCAAAATATGCACTTGTCAGCCTTGCCTGTTACACCGCCCCCCACTCATGGCTGAATTGCTCATGGCTTATTATTCCCCATTAGCCATGCAGTATCTTCTACATACCCAGGCTGTTACATCTAGTAACTTGGTTTCATATCAGTGCTGCCATTATTAGTATTGTCAGTCATTTTAAATCTGTTGAGGCTCTTGTAGCTTTTATAGGGGGCATGGCAGCCAATGAATTCTTTTTCCATCTCATACTAAGTTCAGGTTGACTTTTGAACTTCTGCCTGTTACATAGGAACTGCTGGTTAGCTCAGTGGTTTAGGCATCAGAGGTCGAGAGTTCGATTTCCCACTGTGTCTCCTTGACAGGGGCTGATTTCAATGATCCACAGAGTCCCTTCCAGCTCTGCTGATGATGATGAAGAAGAAGTGCTTTTAAAAGTAATTTTCCAATTCTGCTTCTCCCAGGAAAAAGCTTGGGACGATGATGATTCCTAACAAAGGCACAGGAGCCCTCCCAGACAAAATGTGGCAACCCTCTTCTAGTTGTAGACAAACTAATATAAATAGTTCTTTGCATGGTGGCTCATTTGATGCTATGCTCAACTGAATTAATAGACCTTATACAGAAGCCACTTCTTGTTTTTAAATCCTCTTGCCCAAAGAATATGATATGTTGCATTACTGGTTCTTCTGCCTTTAATGACCATATCGAAGGACAAACAGTACTTTTATCTCCAGATAAATGTCTTGATTTTGGAGAAACAATTAATGGATCCATTATTGAAGGGTCAGATTTTATAGTATTTAATTAATCTGGAGAAGACAGAAAATAGCCAATCTATGTCTTTGGATGTAGGGAAACTATTTATGAGTCTTATTCTGCTTTCTCTTGTGCCCAATTTATTCCTCTGCCACAGAAGCAGTCCTGAATATTTAGGTCCTACACTTTGATTAGCAGAACTGCAGTATATAGATGATATTATCTAATCTGGGAGGCCACCCGCCCCAACAACAATAATGCAGTAGAAATGCCAACACTTTCTCAGGATCACAAAATGAGGAAATGTGCTGAGAGGGAAAAAAAGATTAATGCATATGGCTAGGTATTTATAACTTTACAGTATTTAAAACGGGGGTAGACAATTCCTTGCCCCTCCCCCCCAGATGTTGCTGGATTGCAACTAGTATTAGCATAACCAATAATGAGGGATCATGGGAGTTGCATCCCAAAGATATCTGGAGGGACAAAAGTGGACTATCACAGGTTTTAAGGA